GCCTCAGTGGCCACTCGGGAGAGCTGCCCTCTCTCCCCCAGGCCGGGGCTTCCTTCTTTCACCCCCCTTTCTGACCATCTCCAAGGACCCCCACCTTCCTTTCATTTACTGTTATCCCAGGCTGACATCATGCTGAATGCTTCACGGTCCACATCATTGATTTGGCACGGGAATCCATCCCACCCATTTTAAATATGTGGAAACTAAGACCCAGAGGCAGAGTCACTTGCTCAAGGGCACCCTGTTCAGAAGGGGCAAAGCTGGGGCTCATGTCCTCATCCATGCTTCTGGAAACTCTGCCCTGGACTCCACCTCTGGTGGTCTCTGTCCTGGTGTGTCTTAGGTCAAAAGATCCCTCTGTGTCCTGGGCTGGCCTGGTGAAGAGGGGAGACAGGCCTCTGCTTCCCTCTTGTGAATAAGCCCGGGGAGGCTCCAGATCTTGCCTCAGGGCCTCTGTCGTCTTCTTCATGACCCCGGGCACTTCTGAGTCTCAGTTTCCTCGCCTGTTCAGTGGCCTTGGCCCATTCTTCCCCTCAGCTAAGTTGCAAAATCCAGGGGGAGTCAGGCTCAAGTCCCTGGGTGCTGGTTCTCCTCATAAGCCCTAGTGACAGTTACACTGCTTTGGGTTTCATTTTCTGGTGTCCTGAGTTCAAAATGAAACCAAGTCCAGGTGCCAGAATGGGAAAAGAAGTGTGTGTCTGCTGCCTGCCTACCCTGGCCGGCTGGGTGCTGGGCTCACAGGGAGCCTGGCGGCTGGACGCTCTTAGGTGCTCAGATTCCACAGCAAGACTGACCCAGATTCTGGCTCCAGGCCTGATGCCACCCAGCTGTGCGAGTTTGCTTGAGTGGCTCACCCTCTCTGGGTCGAAGTGGTTTTATCTGCACGATGGACTCTGGACGTTTTGGACCTCACAGAGCAGCAGGGTGTGCAGAGCCCAGGCATAGAGTGACTGGTGCAAGTGAGGGTCACAAGGAGATGAGCTCCCACGTGAGACAGTCCTCCCTGCCCTGACCGGACCTGGTAGCCAGGCAGTGAGAGGCCAGGCCAGCCTCTGGAGGAGCAGAGATCCTCCCTGCTTTGGGAGCTCAGGTTTTCAGTTTCTCTTTCCAGCTTAGTGACCTCCTGCTGGGAAAGCAGCCCTCCTCTGGGACATCATTCTGAAAGTCATCTGTGCCTCGGGGCTCTTGGGCCCTCCTTTTCCGGTAACCCTGAGGCCTGCCAGGTTCCTGCGCATCCTTGACCTTGCACCTGGGAGCCTGATCCTCCAGCTCAGGGTGAGAGTTCTGTTTTTGCTGGTCTGGGTATAAATATGTCACTTCTAAAGTGTGTGGCCTGGGGCAAGCCTCTTAGCTCCTCAGTGCCTCAATGTCCTCATCTTCGAGACGAGGTCATTTATTGAGTGGCTGCTGTGTCCAGGGACTCAAGACTTGGGAGTATTCAAGCAGGCCCAGGGGAGATAATGAATGTATGGGATCATTTTAGATCATGTTGAGTACCTGCGGGAATTAATTAACAGGCAGAATGGGAGCGGCTGGGTGTTTGGGGGTTTGGTAAGCAGGCAGGGAAGAAGGGTGTTAGAGGCAATGACTTGGCATTTCGGTCTTTCTAAAAGAGAAAGAAGGGCCCAGGTGGGGAGGTGCTGTGGTGGAGGTGATCGGCAGGGTTGGGGGTCCCAAAGGAGATGGGTGTAGTGGGTGTGGAGAGAAAGGGGTGAGTTTGGGGCAGGTGAGCTATGGGGTGGCAGGGCCTGGTCCGTGAAGGAGGGCCCTGGACTGTGGACTGGTGGGAAGGGATCAGATTTGGGGCTGAGTGCATTGCTGGTGGGCACGCCTTACAGCTGTGCCTGTCCCCTGGGTGTCCCCGAACCAGGGCCTGAAGTGGTTGCAGAGACAGCCCTCAGGGCTTGGGAGAGGCTGCATGGGAGACCTGGCCCGAAGCCAGGGGCTGGACGTCACTCCTGGGGACCCAGAGCAGGAATCCCCATTGTTGAGCCCTACTCCGGGCCAGACAACAGTGTTTTACTACTGAGCTTATTTCATCTTTCCCTGGTGGTGTGAGGGGGAAATTATGTCTTGCCGCTCACTGGATGAGGAGCTGCTGGGTGAGGGTTTAGTTGCGATCCTTTGGCCCAGTACACCTGGCCTGAAGGCCTCTGCCAGGTGATCAGGTGGACCCTTATCCCTCCTGTCCCCACAGTGAGGAGGAGTGTGAGAGCGGGGAGTGCAGGCTATTGGCACCCGAGTCCGTGGAGAAAGTCTGAAGGGCCAGGAAGTGCTGACACTAGCCTGTGGCCAGCTTCAAAGTGGCACATTCCTGGGGACACATGAGGACGTTCCTAGCCCCCATGACCAGGGAAGGAAGGAGAAACGAAGTCGAAGATTACAGTTGCCGGTGTTACCATCACTGACCTCCAGAGAGCAGCCACTGATGTTAACAGCTCCAAAGCGAAGGGTGGCAGGAGGAGTCTTCCCAGAGCTCGGCCTTCACTCCTGTCTCTGTTCCATGTTAGCAGTCAGGGGCTATTCAGAGGGCGGGCAGGATGGCTCCCAGGGCAGCAGCCTGGGGGGGGGGGTGTCGCACAGGCCAGCCCAGGCCTGCATGCACCGGAAGTGGCGCCTGGCCCAGCTGGAGGAAGAAGCCTGGTCCAGTCCTAGGGAGTAAGTGGGGCTCTCAGAAGGGCAGAGTGCACCAGGAGAGGCTGCTCTGCTTTGTTTTTGGTGCTGAGGATTGAACTCATAGCCTTTACACTGAACTACATCTCTGGCTCTTTTTATGATTTGTATCAACTCTTTAAAACTAAATTTTTGAGACAGGGTCTCACCAAGTCACAAACTTGTCAAGGCTGGTCTTAAACTTGTGATCCTCCTGCCTGATTGTCCTGTGAGGACCAGAGCCTCAGAGTTGAGGCTGAGATGCAGGAGAGGCCTGAGGGCTGGTGTGGAAGGAGGCTGGGCTTGGCCTCTCCCTGGCCTGGGGCAGCACAGCCCTCTGTGGATGACCTACTGACCACCTTGCCAGCAGCCCCTCAGGGACTGGCTTGGGTTCCACATGCCTGTGCTCTCTCTCCAGATTCCACAGAGCTTTGTTAAGATGAGTTAGATGCTTTCCCTGATAGTCATGCCTTTTTTTCTCTATAATTTTTTACTTCCTCATATAACCCCTGGCACCAGCTTGGTGAGGCCTTCTACATCTTTTCTTCTGTTGGTACAACAAGTGTTTTTACCTCTGAACATAGAGCTACTTGTGGAGGATTTACCCTGTATGCTTCTTCCTGTCCTTTTCACCCCACAGCATACACTGGCCTCCCAGAGAGATTGTGTGTAGATCACTGCACTCCTTTGAGACTGTGTTGAGATGCCACACGGTGGACCCTGCGAGTTCACATTGTCATCCCCTATAGATGGACAGGTAGGGTGTTTTGTGCTCTTGGAAACAACATGGCCCTGAACCTCCCTCTCCAAGCACACAGGGCACATGTGTGAAAAACAGCTGGCCCACTTTAGATGTTAGCAGATACTGCTCTGTCGCCTGCTGTCAGCCTGGGCACCCCTCCGCCTTGGCAGCGACACTCAGCAATGTGTTTCCTGTGTCTTTGCCAGTACTTGTTATTCTCAAACGTTTTGCATTTTTGCCTATTTGATGATTACACACATAGTATCTTGTTGCCTTAAAGGCTGCTCCTTCTTTCGTTTATTCAGAAGATACTTACTGAGCTCCTAATATAAGCCAGACACTGTAATCAGTAGTAGAGATGCAATAATAAATACACAGGCCCCTGGTCCTCTTTACAAAGTGAGAGATACAAGTAAGGACCAGAGAGGCTGAGAGAGCTGCCTGGGTCTGGGGCTTGGATCATCTGTGGCTGCCGAGTTGAGGTGCTTTTCCTTTCAGTCATACCTCGATCAGGGTCCGCGCCTTCTTTCCTTACTGCTTCCCTCCCATGCCAAGACCACAGTATCCCCTCAGTGACCCTCTGGCCTGCAAGGAGCGGGCAGACAGTCCTCCCACGGGCCAGGCTGTGTTTCATTGTTTTCCAGATCTCACTTTACCTCCTCTACCCCACCTAATGTAAAGCCCTCGACTGCAGTCCGGATAGGTGCCCTTCAGAATTGGGAAGTGTTGTTCGTATGTGCCAAGTCCCTACAAGGAATGTGATCATTCTGTACCACCAACATGTACAAAAATATATTTTTGGAGGGATTAAGAGGTACAGGGAAAGGGAGGGAGAAGGAGATAAAAGTAAAGCTGTATTCTGTGCACGTACCAACTCCCCATGGTGAATAAGTCTCCTTCATAACCCTCAAACTCTCAGTGGCTGAATTTATCATGTTATTTGGGTTTTCAGTAGGCCTGCCCCACCTCAGACTGAGCACATGAGTGAATGAATCTCTGGTTTGATTTGAGGGGGTGAATGCTGTGAGTGCTGGTGTGTGTGTGTGCGCGCGCGCGTGCGTGTGAGCATCAGGGCGTGGTCATGCATCAGGGTCCACAGGTGAACAGATGTGTCTGAGTGGACTTGATTGGCTTTTTGTATATGTGACTGGGTTTATTTATTTATGCCACTTTTGTCCATATATTGGTTTCCAGGAAACATGGGGTTAAATATGGATCCATAAACCACACATGACCACTCCATCTGCTTTCTTCCATGTCTCTAAGAGGTCTCCTACCTTCAGTGATCTTATCACAATGGGGCATGGCCCAGAGAGTAAGGAGGTTTTGTTGGCGAGTTAACACTTTCATAAGATCCCATCGCAGGGATGTCCCTGCTCCCTTTGTCTCCCCTTCCCTGTTCTGTGCTTCCAAACTAGGCCTAAAAACATGACACCAGCCAAGTGTAGTGGTGCATACCTGTAATCCCAGCACTCAGGAGGCTGAGGCAAGAGGACTGTGGAGAGTTCGAGGCCAAGCCTGGGATACACAGGACAAACTGAATTACAGAGTGAGACCCGGTCTCAAAAAAACCAAGCCAAACCAAATCACACACAATTACAACACAAAAAGTATGTGACACCTTTATTAGGGAAATTGAACTGCTACCTCAAGAATAGTCTTCCAGGGTACAAGTTTAATCATTGTTGCTTAGAAATCACCATGGTAACATGTTCCTGCAAAAAGATGGACTTTATCCTGGCATCCCACACGTGATGGCATTTCTCCTTTGGGTGAAAATGACACAGGAACAAGCCAGAAAAGGCTGTCTCCTCAGTTGTATCTTCGCCCTAGAGGGAATGGGAAAGGGCCCTTTAATAGCTTAGCACTTCCTGATGTCATTGAACTCCATCCTTTAAATCTTAACTGCTCATTTGTAATTGAGCATGGACATAGATATGTAGCGCTTAGACTATCATCAAGGTCTTTCTGAGCTTAGACTATCAAGGTCTCTTTGACATGTGTATCCATCCATTATACTTCCACTTTTCATCCACCCATTCATTAGTTCACTCATTCTTCCATCCATCCAACATTCTGTTCTCTCCCATCCTACTGTACTAGGTCTTCCATTCAGTTCATTCAGCCATCTAACCAACCAGTTGCCTGGCTGACCCATGCATCAGTTCAACCCATTTATCCATGCGTCTCACATCCATACAGTGAATTGCATCCATGCACCTTTCCTGTCATTCAACCAGTGCATTGTCCATCCCTTTCATTACTCAGCCATCTACTAACCAACTTCTAATGAATATTGACCCACCAGCCTCTGTCTCCCAGGCAGCCCATCCCATGTATCCAAAGACCCAGGGCATCAGTGTGTTGGACATCCACCCCGCCACTGGCTTTCTCCATCCTTGCCTGTGGTTCCTCTGTTACTGGCCTGCACCTCACTGCCTCCAAGCTCCAGCTGGGCTGCTCCCCCTTCCTCGGGGCCCAGAACCTCCCCACCCTCTGGAACAGCACCTGAGCTCCGCCTCTTTGATCCGTGTCCCCGCTTGCTCCTCTTGGTCACCTTTCTCTTGTTTACCTTCCCTGCCAAGGTCTTCTTCCTGTTAATGGAGCCCTTGTGGTGGGGGCCGGGCCCCGTGCGGCCATGGCGGGAGTGCACAGGCTGTCTGTGGGGCCGTGGTGGTGGACTGGGGCTGGGGCTGGGGCTCTGGCTTCGGCTCCGGGAGCCAGGTGGGCTGTGGTGGCTGGGTGGACTCTGACTGCAGCCCCGGCGTCGGTGGCTGCAGTTGCACTGGTTGCAGGTGTGGCTCTGAGGCTCAGAGGAGCTATGGAGCTGGGCCTGGGTGGTGGGGAGGCTCCGCATCTCGGTACCCTTGGAGGCCACTCCTGGGGGCCGCCTGCCCAGCTGCCCAGCTCTACCGGGGCCCCGCAGCGCCCCTTTATATGGTCAGGCTGACTGTGATGGCACAGGCCACAGAGGGCGACAGAGGTGACGGGTAGGCACAAAGCCCCCGCCCTTTGCCCTCAGCCCCAGGGTGGGGCAGCTTTCAGGGGCACTCTGGGGTTGTCCCACCTGCCGGTTAAGCACAGAGGCCCCTGGGTCCGAGGCAGCCAAGTCCATGGCCCATGTCGGCCCCTTCCTTATTCCCAGCCCTCAGCACTCACCCCTCCAAGCCCATTAGCCACCTCACGGAACACTGAAAGAACTAATGGAAAGAATCTAGTCAAGCAGTCACTCAGGCCCGTCTCAGAGTCAGAGCCCAGTAGATGCCACCTACAGCATTGTCTGCTCCTGTCCTTTTCCATCAGGGACCTCAGTGGGTGGTGGGTGGAGTTGGACGCCTAGTGCCCACCCAGGTGGGTGATGACCGGGCGAGGAGCTGGCTGGCCGGCCTATCAGCTGGATGACACAAGAAACTGCATGGCTGATGTGCATCCAGCAAGATTCAAGCCTAGGTGCTCAGAGGCAGGCTCAAGCCCCCGCTTGCACTGATGCCTGATCTAGGTTGGGTCATCAAGGTTCCCAAGGCTTGGTTTCCTTGTATGGCCAAGGGGCATCTTTCCTTCTCTCCGGCATTCTTCTTAACCCATGATCCTGCCAGTTCCCAGGAGGCCCCGAGTCCCTCTGCCTCACTCCACTGTCCCTTCTCAGGAAGCCTCGCTGTGCAATTCAGCTCCTGTTCCTGCCAACCCTGCTCAGACACCCCAGCACTTCAGGAAAGCCTGGCCTTTTGCTGGAACCTAAGGCCGTTCGCCCAACTTGGTCTTCGGGGAGTCCAGCCAGAGCCACCCACATCCTTGTCATAGGCCTTGGCCCCTCATATAGCCCTGGGGTCCCTGTCTCCATGGCCCCCACTTCCCTCCCTGAAGCCAAGCCCACTTCTCACTTTGCTGCCCAAGCATAGCTTTGCCTGTCGTCGTGCACCTTTGCCACATCAGCTTTTATACAGGTCTGTTTCTTAATAAATGTGTCGAGTGGCTGACGGTGGAAATCACCCTTCCTGCTCACTGGGCTGGTGACACTTGGCAGGCCGCCTTGTCCAGGAGCCTCAGTGACCCTGTGGTGTGGGATGAATGGTGGCCTCAAATCTGTGCCTGTGTAACCCCTGGAACCAGTCAGTGTGACCCTATTTGGACCAAGGGTTTTTAGATGTAATTTAGCTTAATTAAGAGTCTTGAGATGAGCAAATGCTGGATCATTGGGTGCGCCCTGCTTCCCTTGGCGAGTGACCTTTAGGGGATGGAAGAGCTGACAGGAGGAGAAGACCACACACAGAGGAGGCAGAGGGTGGAGTTCCATAGCCAGCAGCCAAGCTGGTCCTGCAGCCACTGAGAACTAGAGGAGCCAAGAATGCTTCTCCTCAGGGTGAGGAGTGGGGTCTTTGGAGCTCTTGATTCCAGACTCTTTTTTTGTTTGTTTGTTTGCTGGTCTGTTTGGTTTTTGTTTTTTGAGATAGGGTCTCACTATATAGTCTACGCTGGGCTTGAACTCACTATGTAGTCCAGGCTGGCCTTGAACTCCTTGCCTCGGCCTCCCCAGTACTGGGATCACAGGTGTGTGCCACCACACAACAGCCGATTCCAGACTTTTGACCTCTCAGACTGTGAGATCTGTTTCTGGTAGTTTCAGACGACCCAGCAGCCCTATGCGAGGAGAGCACCCCATGAGGCGGGCACAGAGGTTGTCTCACAAGGGAGCAGGCTCACAGAGGCCCAGAGCGCATCAGTAGCAGAGCCACATTCAGATCTGGGTCTGGTGGTGCCTTGCAGTCAGGCCCTGCCTGGTGTGGCGCTGTACGGGTCTCCTGTGGGAAGTGCGCTGGGCCACACCGTGAAGGCTTTCTGGGCCCCGCCCCTCCCTGCTGACCTCAAGTGGAGGTGACTGCCAGCTGTGGGTCCCGGCTCCTCTCTCACAGCACCTCTCAGCCCCCAGCCCCCACGATGGGCTGTGCAGCAGCCCCCTGGGGCCCGGCATGGCTCGGCAAGTGAGCAGGCGGTGGGCTTACACGATTTGGACCGGAGAATGAGGCCAGCCAGCCAGGGTGCCTTGTTGCAGGGGTGGGGGGAGGTGATAGGATAACAGTCCCTCCGCCCCACCTGCCACCACCATTCGCAGGGCCACAGCCCATGCACCCCACTCCCAGCCTCAGCCTAGCCCAAGACAGGAGGCTCTCTGGACGGACTCCCCGCCCCACTGCCCTGCCAGGTCCTTCCCGGGCCCCAGGGCTGGTGCTTGGGGGACTGTGAGGAAACAGGTGGACCCCACCGGTCATTTCCTTTGGGTGGGAGGAAAATGGAGCTGGGGCAGCAGGTGTTGGCAGCTTCTTGGTGTCCTTGCGGCCAGTGGACCAGTGGGAGGCAGGCAGGGCTGAGTCTCTGTGAGGGCAGAGAGGGCTCCTGTGTGAGGCTGGCGGGAGAAGCAGCTCCCTCCAGGAGCTCTGTGACAATGCCTGCCATGGCTACTCTGTGCATGCCAGGCTGGGTCCCACTGGCTCTTGGTTAATGCCCCACCCCGGCCATGGGTGGCAAGCAGGGAGGGCAGGCAGAGGCCCAGAGGTGGTGACATGTTCAAGGTCTTGGGCAGCAGAAAAGAAACTGGAACCCAGGTGCGCTGCACTCCCCAAGCCAGTGCTGTTGACGACGCCATTGTCTGTGCTCGGAGCAGCAGAGGGGTCCCGCTGGGTGCTGTCACCTGAATCTGCAGAGGGACCCCCACCCGGAGACGAGGTGGCTCAGATGACTGTGTTTGTAATTTAGTAATTAATTTTATTGAGACACAATATTTGTACATCTTTATGGGGTACAGTATGGTAATTTGATACAAACTGATCAAATCGGAATAATAAGCATTTCCATTTCTTCAAATTTGATCATTTTTATGTGTTGGGAGTTCTGTATTCTCGTTCTCTAGTCATCTTGCCATATCACGTAAGATGTTTTAACAAGTAGTTACCCTACTGTGCTATAGAAAAGCAGAACGAATCCCTCCTTTCTGTGCTTTAACTTCTTTCCATCCCTGCTTCTAACTGTCCCTTCCCAGCCTCGAGACCACTTTCTAGACGGGGCCACCCCACCTTCCACCCCCTGAAGAGGAAGGATCCGAAACAAGGCCACTGCCCTCCCATCTCAGCCTCCCACCCGTGCAGGCACACTCACACACACACACGCCTGGCTCCTGTGGAAGGGACACCAGAGAGGAGGGCTCCTTGGAGACTTTTCATTGACTCTTTTCTGAACATTTTGAACAGCGGCAGCACCCCTCACTGGGCTGTTGTCGTGGGTCAGGAGGGCATCTGCTCAGGCTCGGGGCCCTGCTGGGCCGCAGGCTTGTCCTCAGCGCTCTCCTCCTGCTCGGGCTCCATCAGCAACAGCTTGCTCTTCACCGGGAGCTGCTCCTCCTCCTCTTCCTCCTCCTCTTCCTCTTCCTCCTCCTCCTCCTCTGATGACAGGGAGAAGTTATCCTGACTCACACAGGCCAGCAGCTTCTTCATGGTAGATCCGTGGCCCCTGCTGTAGCCCATGGCGTGCCCCCTGCTGAGCTTGGTGCAGCTGGAACCCATTGCTCTCCTCGGCTCTCTCCAGACTAGGAGGGGAGGTGCCTGAGAGGAGCAGAGGGCTGCGAGGGCGGGGCATGGGGTGCTGACATCACAAAGGGCTCCTGGGACCCACGCCCCTCAGCTGCCCTTCAGCCTACCTTGGCCTACCTTGGCCAACCTTGGCCGCAGCGGGAGGAGGCATCAGCCTCATCTGTCCAGGGAAAGTCCTCCTTTTTGTTGGAATGAGACTTGGGGGTAGAATGTCCCAGAAATGCCCAAAAGAGAGCCATTGACAGTTTGTAGAGGTGAAGTCAGAATAGTGATTGCCATAGGGCAGGGCCAGGAGTAGTGGGTTTCTTGGGGTGCCTACACCTTCCCTTGTGCCATGCATAACAAAAGCACCCTTGCGGGACTGGGGTGCAGCTGCGTGGCAGAGTGTGTGCTTAGTATGCACAACACCCTGGCTATCCCCAGCACTCCTGAGAGTGTGGTCCTCCAACATCTTGAAAGGAAAGGCAGCAGCTCCTAAGTATTGGGGGATGCATCTTAAGGTGTCTTGGATGCCCCTCAGCAATGCTCTTGTGTCTGCACCACGATTTCACACAGGATGGTCCGGGAAGAAGGAGTGCTAGACATCCATTTAGATCAGGTCTTGCTGCAGGTGTCCCTCTGGCAGGTGTCAGTGGGAAGACAGCCACCACCAGCCAGAGGGGATCCTCCCCGAACCTGTCTCGGCCTCACCCAGCCTGAGCCCTGCTCTCAGTTTTCTCCTACTCCTTCCCTTTCCCAGATGACCTTGAGCACCCCAGACTACACCCTGGGGCTGCTGTTATTTTCAGTAATTTTTTTCTGTGCCACGCAGTCGGGCAGAGATAAAGCGGGCTTTCCCCTTTCAGGGGGCAGGTGGGCAGGTAAGCATGACATCCTCAGGTTGAATAATGTGGCCATCGGCGCGGTGAAGGGACAGGTGACAGGTGACAGGACAGGACAGCACCATGAGCCACTGCCTGGGGACCCGTCCTCCCAGACCCAGAAAGGACTATGTCTGCCCGCACAGAGGAGATGGGCAGCCAGTGAGTTCTTTGTCAAGCTTTATTTGGCAGGTGACTGTGCTCATTGCTCAGATCTTGTGGGCTCCTTGGCAACTCAGGGTTGAGGTATCAACATGGGAGGGGTGTTACGGCCTCGCCTCCTGTTCCTTGGGCAGGTGACTTTTCCGTAGCTTCCGGCAGGGCCTGGGAAGGTTTAGTGGTACCTCCTGCATCTTCTCCTCCTTCTTCTGCAACCTTTTGGGAGGAATAGTTGATTGGGAGCCATTTGGGGGATCTGGGTCGGGATGGAGTTTAGGGTCAGACAATGGGATCCCAGCCTCCCTCTCAGCTGTGCTTCATTCAGCATAGGTGCAAAAGGCCTGGGGTTGGTGGGGCAGGGTTGGGGCAGACCTTGGCGACATCTCCTCCTACAGGTGCATCTCCTGCGCCTTCGACAGGATGGGCGCTGCCTTCTGTGGATCCAGCATAGCCTCCTCCAAGAACAGCACCTACGCCTGTAGTGGCGGCCTCTGTATGTCCTCCTGTAGGCCTCCGTGTGCTCTGGGCTCAGTCCCCGCTCCTGCTCCTGGCCCTCACCAGACTCCGGGCTGTTCGCCTGGAGCGGGCGCTCACTGGGGCTCCTCATGCGGCAGCGGACCATTGTGCCAGGAGCTGGGGAGAGGGGCAGCTCCAGGATGAGGCTGCAGCTGACCTGGGGAGAAGGGCTGCAGCTTGCCCACCTGCTCTTGCTGTTGGTTGGTGTGGTTGCTGGGCGCTCAGAGCTCAGAGCCCCACTATGACCCGGCAGCCCATCCCACGATTATCCCCACTCTGCCCAGTACCCTCTGTGAGGGCAGCATAGGCCAGGGGTGCAGTCCTGGCACAGAAGCCCTGGCCTTGCCCATAAAATGCATCCTCTGTCATGAGGAAGAAGCTGCTTTTTGTCTACACCCAATCCTCATCCTACCGAGTGGTGGGAATTCATAGGTGGTCATGCTAGAAGCTTCCCCACTTCCTTGGTGTTGTGTCATGGTCGACTCTAGAGTTTTACGTGATCTGAGTGTTGGGGGGATGTCTTCATGCCTGGGCACATTGTGTAGCATTTGTCCCCTTGTGCTTGATGATCCACCAAAGACCGGAAGCAGAGTCATGGCAGCTGAAGCCGTAGTTTCCCTCTCGTGGAGGGCAGAGGGGATGCGGTCCTGGTGTCTCTTGGGGAGGGAAGGGGGACATGGTGACACAGCAGTCCCCTCACCTAAAGGCATCCCCATGCTAATGCATGAACCTGTGCACAGGTGTGACTGAGGGTCTGCAGATGGGGAGTGGGCCTCATCACTTGGGGTGTCCTGTGCGATCACAGAGGTCCTTTGGAGAGAGGAGGAAGGCAGGGAGAGGTGTGCAGAGGCTGTGCCGCTGGCCTTGAGGACGGCACTCTAGATGCTGTAGAGGCCAGACAACAGGTTCTGCCCCAGAGCTCTGAGACACCTTGATTGTAGCCCCATTAGACCCACTTGGACTTCTGACCTGCAGAACTGTGTCATAAACTCGTGTTGGTGTAAGCTTCGGAGTGTGTGGTGATTTGTCAAAGTGGCCATAGGAGAGGAAGCAGGCTTAGTCCTGGGGCCTCGCAGGAGTGAAGGGTGACCCTGCCTTTCCTGAATTTAAATGCTGCTCCCTTTCAGGACAAAGAAATTTTATAAGGGGCTCAGTCTCCCCTCAGGCAATTGGTAAAAATATGAATGCTCAGCTAGGTTCACATCTCCGTATCTAGCGATATGGTCAAAATACAAGAAAAGCAAATCCCCAAAAAGTCCACCTGGGGGGGCTGCCTGTCCCCTGGCCTGCTGTCTTCCTCCTCCTTGCCTTGCTGGAGTGTGTGGGGTCCCAAGAGTCCAGGCGAAGCCAGGTTTAGCTCAGGGCTCCGTGGGGGCCGGCGCTCACCTGGAGACACAGCGTGCTGACACCTGCCTTGAGGGACTGCTGAGGACCGAGGGCCTGGTGCTCTCCCTGTGAGCAGAAGCCAGAGTTCCCAGGTGTTGCTGGGCCCAATCCCTTTTAGGAACTGGTCCTGTGGCGCTGGGGGATCACTGATGAAACCCCTGGCTTGCTCCGGTGCTGGGAAATGCCTGTGACACAGGGTCTGTGTCGGGCCTGAGCGTGGGCCTTCCTAGGCCAGGGCTGGGCCCGTTAGCCCGGAGTCCTAGTAGGATTTCTTGCATCTGCTTCTGTGGTGTGCAGCGTCCTGCGGGAAGGGAGTTGGTTCGGGCAGCTCTAATGGGTGAGTTCGTGTCATGGGCACAATGCTTAACCTCCTGCAGGCACTTGAGGACTGAATGGGCAGGGCAGCTCCCCTGCTGCCTGGCCAAGTTACCACTGCTCTCCAATGGGGACACAAATGAGGGCTGCTGAATGAAGGAAAACCTTGAATTCATGATTCTAATGGTGACTGTCTTGTTCCCTGTATAACCAAAGGAACTGTTGAGATTTCAGCTTTGAATTGAACTTGTGTGACACTTTGGGGACTGGCAGATGTTTAACCGGCTCTGGGGACCCCCTGATGGCCCTCTGATGCTTAGAGCATCTTCCCCTGTGGCTCATTGCCAGCTGCCAGCTGCCAGCTGCAGAACAGGGTGGAAGGACAGTGGCCCTCAAAGGTGATGACCCAGCTCCAGGGGTCAGACAGGTAGGCAGTTTGGGAGCAGATGTTCCTCATGTCGTGTCACTGAGTTTTGGACAGGATCCCGGTGACAGCTGTCACTCTCATGGCCCCCTTCCCAGCATCCTTTCTGTGCCACTGTGCCACATCGCCAAGTCCTTCCACCTCCAGGCCAGCCCTCTCCCGAGCCATCAAGGACAAAGGCATGAATGGGATGAGTTTGACATTTATTGACAGGTGGCGTTGTTCCTTAGCAGTCTCCTGTTTCAGTGCAAGGTGGCATTGTCAGAGGTGGCAAGACAGTCTTGAGGTCTGGCAAAGTCTTCAGCAGGAGTTCAGAGGCCTCACTCTTCTGCAGTTAGCGTTTTCTGCACCTCCGGGTATACCTGCGGCGTCCGCACCCTAAGAGTACAAAAGATGTTGAGAAGGCGTCACGGCCCCGTAGAGCCCAGCCCCAGCCCAGGCCGGACTCTTACTTTGTCTCCGTCTGGGATGGCATCGCCTCCTTGGTCTGTGGCTGCGTCTATGGTAGCCTCTGCTCTGGCTTGGGCTGCGGCAGCATCTGTATCTGGCCATGGCTCGAGGTGAACTTGGCCCACACATGGCTCAGAGCAGGGGCACCACCTCAGCTGAGCCAGCCAACCTGTGAGGAGGTGGAACTTCGTGGGCTATGAGGCAGGGCTGAGCCCTGGGCCTCTTATAGACGCAGGACATTGTGAGGTCAGAGTGGCCAGGACCTCACAGAGCATGGCCAGGGCCGCGCTTCCTGTCCATGTATGGGCACTCGAGGGGTGCTGCAGCCTTGGCACACGGGGGCCTCCGTGTCATAGCCAGTGTGACTCTGTAGGTGAAGTGTGCGTGGGGCAGGCCTGGTCGCACTGCTGGGTTTCCCGCTGGGCTCACGTGGTGTTCTGAATGTCACCAGGCAGAGTGTTTTAGAGGGTAGCAGCTAAAATTTCAAAAGAGCTGTGTGTGGTGGCACATGTCTGTAATCCCAGCACTTGGGAGGCTGAGGCAGGAGGATTGCTGCAAGTTCGAGTCCACCCTGAGCTACATAGTGAGTTCAAGAACAACCTGAACTACATAGTGAGACCCTGTCTCCAAAAAAAAAAAAAAAGTTTTAATTTTGCAACTTAGAATAGAACAGCAAAATAAATAATGTGAAGAGCAGTTTCACGTTTTCCTTCCAAAGCAGAGGTCGTTATATGTGCTGGACAGCAGAGGAGGGATGGATGACATTTCCCAATGGGAGGGAGAGGAGAGGATGGCAGAGCAGGTGCCCGAGAATGGCACTAAATGGCCAGCCTGGATGGAGGGGAATTGTCTGTATGGCTTATGAAACTGTTCTGAAACTTGGAAGTCATTTCCAAATAAATGATTAAAAAAAAAAAAAAGCAAAGAGAGGAGGAAGGCCACCCAGGAACGGTATGGGGGACCCCTTATCTAGGACCCAGGCTGCTTCTGTCTTTCAGCTCTGCCTTCAAGTGAT